GCCTGACACCTGGATGAAGCTCTGCCTGGTCTGTAGTCTTAACCAACCACCTGAAGTGACTCTGCACATTTCTGTGAGTTCTATGCCTTTTCAGCTCCTGCATCCACTGTCAACCCTTTGGAAGCAGCTCTATCACACATGTTATGAGACTTGAGTGTTACAGATATTCATAAGTAAGATTAGAGTATAGAAATCTTCATTGCCCAGCTCAGTAGGTGCTGGGTGAATCTTCAGGAATAGGCCATATAAGGTTAACAAAATTGGCATAATTCATGAAATTGTGGTTTATTCAATAAATCCTGACACTGTAGAAAGACACAAATGTGTCCATCCAGACTGTGTTACTGACATAGCTTGCTTGAAAGAAATATTGTGGCTTTTCAAGCCATAAATATAAAAGTAAAGACAAATCCAAAGGAAACAAGTATCTGGGAAGTTGTCACTGCTGCAGAAGTGGGTGGGGCTGATCCCAGGTCAGGAAAGTCAGAATAGGTCAGTCCACTCACCTGCATGACTCTGACTAACTGCCATCCCAAGGGTCATATTAAATCACAGGGTATATTGGTGTTTTGTTTTCTTTGTAAGTGAAGACACTGTACTCAGCTTAGTTCCCTGAGTAATTTGTGTTTCCATTTTACCTTGTCTGGATGGGCTGTGTCACGCCTACAAATACCATTTCCAGTTTGAGAAAGCTTTTTAGAAACATACATGTTTTTCATTAAAAAAAGAAAAAAGAAATACAGATGTTTGCCCACTCAGCAACTACCGACTGGGAAGGGTGGTTATGGATAAGGTACCATGTACTTCCAAAGCTAAAAGAAATGGTTTTGACTGTTTTCACTATAAAGAGACAGTAGAGTTTGGAGGAGAAAGGTAACTTTACCCTGCTTTGAACATTGCACAATGTCTACATGCATTGAAATACTGCACAGTACCCATCCATATGGATAATTTCTATGTTTTATATATCAGTTAAAAATCAATTAGAACAAGAAATTACGAGCTGGTTAACTTTACCTATTATTTCACCAATCAACAGTTCTTGTTTTCTATATCTTCTTGGGCAACAATTCATGTGACAATTATTATCATGGTCAACAATGACATATTTTCTGAGTTTCTGCTGCAAAGTACCTAGCTGAGCACTGACCCAAAAATCTGTACTAGCAGATCCCTACTCTTTAAATCAGCAATCCCCATGGGCCATGGCCTTGATTGCCCAGCTCAGTAGGTGCTGGGCCATGGGCCAGCACTGTTCCATGGCCTGTTAGGAACCAGCCCACACATCAGGAGGTAAGCAATGGGCAGGTGAGAGCAAAGCTTCATCTGTATTTACAGCTGCTCCCCATTGCTCCCATTACTACCTGAATTTTGCCTCTTGTCAGATCAGTAGTAGGGACATTCAATTCTCATGGAAGTGGAACCCTGCCATGAACTGCCAGCGCGAGGCATTTCAGTTGCATGCTCTTTATTAGTCTAATCCCCAAACCACATCCTGCCCTGTTCTGTCCATGAGAATATTATCTTCTACAAAACCAGTCCCTAAAATCAAAAAGTTTGGTGACCATAGCTTAAGTAATTTTAAACTAGCTCAGTTACAGAATATGTAAGCAAAAATCTATAGAAGAGTACTATGGAGCATTTGATAACTGTCCATATACAAAAGATGGTGCCATAAAACAATATAGTGACTGTTTAAAGTTTTTAAAAATTTATTAGAGGGCCAGGGATGTAGCTCAGCAGCACAGTGCCTGCCTGGCAAGCACAAAGGCCTGAGTTCAATTCCTGATACAAAAAAAATTCTTACAGTAGAAGATGCCATCATTTCCCCTCAAAATACTCAGGATATTTCCCCTTACTTCAAACACACTATCTGTTCATTCTTTGCAAGGTGCTTTTTACTGTAATTGTTTTCTTTTTTTAATTTAAACTCTCATCTTATCTTCTAATCCCACCTTGGCTGAGCACTGGCATACTCAAGGAAGACCTCTTTGAGATCAAGCCGGGACCTGTTCAAATATGCATAGCATGTTTTTGTTTGAGGCAGGGGACAGTGGTGTGTAAGAGTTTGCATTTGCATACACATGGAGGGTATCAGTATACATTTCAGGAAAAGACCCAAGATCAACCTTGTAACACACACAACATGTTCTCAGTTTGGTCAGATCACATGTGGGACACAGATGACATATTAGGATGGGTGAATACCAAGAAACTTTTCAAATTCTTATTCTAGAGAAAACACTAACCTAGAGAAAGGTTGAGAGAGCATAATAATTTCTATAGTTAAAACCCTTGAAAATACTGCAACCTGCATCCTCCTCTTAAAGATGCAAAAGCATGTATAAGTTTCTTCACACACTAGTTCACAACCTGAAAAAGAATTTTTTCCCACGTCTCTCACAAATTTTGAAAGCACAAATTTTGGGATGGGAGGTTGGCTATGAAGAATGGACATTAATCTGCAAGGCACCAAGAAGGTTGAAGGCTCCTGAGCAGATGGTAAACATACACCAAATGGTATTTTAGAAAAATTAATCTAGCAAGGTTTGAAATATAGAATAAGAAAGGCAAGGAGTGGAACCAAAAGATTATTTGAAAAACTTGGTATAAATCCACTCTATTATGACTTACAAAAATGTTAGGAGTTTTTCTTTTATTGTTTTTTAAAGTTTTTTCTCTGCACATGAGGATTACTGTCTTTAAATAAAGTATTATCTCATACCTCTTATAAACAAAAATAATATTTCTCTAGTTAATTAAAAAGGAGGAGCAGGTCTCTGAGTAAGAGCAAGAACTGGTCTATAATATATAGGTCCCCAAAAAGAATGGAAGACTAATCAGAACAATTTAACTTCAAAACAGACATACGAAATAATTTTTCAGTTGCATAATTTCTAATGTTTCATGAACTACAGAGACCTAGAGTGACCTAAAAGTTATTGAATAGGGTGTCATGGAGCTAAAAGTAAATCTAAGTCTCAGGCCCAGTGGAACTAAACAAGATGGCACCCGACCTTTGTGGATATAAGCCTCACTTTTAAATCTTCCTAAAAAATAGAGGAGAGAGATATGCATATCCAGGATTTGGAACTATATTCTGAGATCTAGCTTTGTGACAAGGACAAGGCTTGCCTGATGATGACCCTTCCAGCAACCATTCTGTCCCACCCAATAGTCTTTACCATTCCCCTACATTCGCCACAAGAGTCCTGAGCCAGTCAAGGTATTTTCAGCCATACTACTCCTTTAGGGAAAAATTACTGTCACTTGTGGATTAAAATTGACCATCATCCACATTAGATTCAATTTAATTCTTAGTGTCCATTCTAAAGCCACTAATTGTATGGTCTTCCTCATCTTTCTTTACTTTTTTTTCTTTTTCTAGTCACTCTCATTTTAATAATACATTACTTGAATTCTTTTGAAGCTCTTTGCACTTTACCATAAAACTCTCAGAAACAAACCAGGTATCAACAGTCTGACAAGGCAATAAACAAAGATGTGCATAGTATTTGTTTAGGCAGTGCGTTTTTGTTTGTTGTCCTCTTGGAAGTCACGATTGCGAAGAATGAACATTCTCAAGATGAAAACCATTTCTGCAATGGAGTCTGGTTTGACTCTAGATAAAGTGAAATGAAGACTGTGTTCTTTACCAGCAAAACTTTGTACATAATGCTTCCATTGAGCGAATATTTAAGATTTCTAGCAGGGCATTTGTGAGGCAGAAAGAATGTCCGTGATGGGGATAATTGTGCATATGGTCTAGTTTAACCCTCTCCAGCCCTTTATCTGTCCTGTTTCTACAAAATGGAATCCTGATTCCCAGAGTGGAATCTTGAGAGGTAAAAATCACACCTTTAAATGTGTGGCCAAATCTTTTGCCTGTTAATTTCATTCAGTCCTACATGTTTCCATTTTATTCTCACTGGGACCTTCCAAGGAAATACCAGATTTTTGAAAAAAGCACCTTTGATAGCAGTCTAAGTGCCCTTTCTCTGTAGCAATGAATTGAAACTTTTCAAAAGGTATTTGCATTTTTATTTTTCAGCTAAGAGCCACCATTTGAGAAATTTAAGTTCAGAATGTTAATAATCTATTTTACTTGAATCAGAAAACCAAAAATTATCAATAAACTCCATTGTATCTTAATATTGTAAAACACATTTATTAGTGGTTGGGGGAGCAAAAGCATAAGAAATATCACTGTAAGTAGCAAAATGTTTATAGAATTTAGGCTAGTTAAGTAAGTAATTAAAAATATTTTGCTTCCATCTGTAAGTAAAATATCCACTACTTAAAACAACCCATCAGTAACAAGAAAAATATTTGCAGCTTATTAAAATTACTTGTTTATATTAATAGTGACTTTGGGTTTCCCAAAAATTTGAAAATACAGACACATGCATGTGTACACATCTTAATGTTTCTATTATTTTTATTTTTGGTACTTGGAATCGAACTCAGGACCTTGTGCTTCCCAGGCAGGCACCTGTACCACTGAGCTATATCCCCAGCCCTTTTTTTTTTTTCCGGTACCAGGAATCGAACTCACAACCTTGCACTTGCCAGGCAGGCCCTGTGCCACTGAGCTAAATCCCCAGCCCTCTATTATTTTGTAATTTGCAACAAAATAGTGATAATGGTAGGCTTGATGTACTTTATATTGTTTCTGACGTAAAATTTGACTTTCTTAAGTAAAACAATACTAGAGGTCAATCTCATCAGAACAAAATTTTTGGCTTAACAATAAATTTCATATGAGATGTGTCAAGCCATCTCATATGATATCCAATACAACCAAATTCAAGAACACAAAAGAATCTGAACAGCACCTTAGATTCCTTAATGAGAGTCACCCTGCATTTTGAGTCTTTTTAAATCACAGCAAAATATATTCATCAGAGAACTTCTTATTTTTCAGTTAAACACACTATCTCCTCCTCAACTGAACAACAAAACAAAGAAATACAAACATTAACTAAAGCTGGATCACTTACCATAAATGCCTGTTGAGATGCAGGGAAATGCCTGTGAACAAACCATAGAAATAACAATAAATTCTAAAGGAAGGACTCCGCCTGATATTATTTATCTTGACATTTATTTTGCCTGATAATGGGAAGTGCTCTTCTTAATACTCAGAGCTACAAGTGAGAGTAAGAGTCTCTCTAACCTGGAGATGTTTGCATAACTGAAAACTTTTCCTTATCTGCAATTATGCCAACTTGCAAAACCCAATAGTTAAATTTTTAGGAATCTTGAAAACCAACTGTTAAATAAGTATTACAAAGAAAACTAAATTACATAAAAATATTACAGTGAAATAGATTACATCAAAGCAAAGATAACCAGCAGTCAGAATTCACACTTTCTAGTTCCTTTGCCGCATTTTGCTATTACCTATGTTTTTAAGATTATTTCTATTATATGAGTTTGGTAGGAACATTGCATGATAATAGCTCTTGAACATCTTAGCTCTGAGGTTTGTGCTGTTGCACTGGTGTTTTGAAATATGAAAATATCAATCAACATTCATGACTCACATCATGGGACAACTGAAACTGTGGCCTGGCTACACAGAGAAAATTTGGATAAACTTCACCAAAAGCATTTAGTGACAATCAAATGACTATTGAGAATTTATGATAAAGAGAAATGTGTGTCTTATTCTTAAATGTAAGTTATGTGTCAGTAAAATTCAGGATTCTTTTATAGCATATACCCCTCTCCCTTTTTAAGGAGTTGATCTTTAAACATTTCTTGACACATTACGGATTACACTATATTTTGCTGAGCAATACATAAAGAATTTGACTGAAAATAATGAATGAATGAGTATAAATATACATTTTACTCCATTAGGCTTTCTAACTATAGAAAGTAATCTAGGTGTGCCAAGGTCTTCTGCCAATGCACTTCTGTGTAATTCAATTAAGTTGCTTTAATCTTCCTTCATATTTCTCAATTTTAAAATACCATAATATAGAAATTTATTTTGACAATTAATTATAGCTTTTTAATTCTGTACTAGAATCTAAAAGCTGTAACTACTCTCTGCCATAATAGCTAAAATTCCTGTTGAGATCAATAATAATAACAAAATGGGTTAATACGTACAGTATTTTATTTCCCATAACATTTTATAGACTAGATATTTATTCTATTTACTGAAATCATCTAAAGTTGTCATTTCACTTTAGAGAAATGAAGGACTGACTCTTATTAAGCTCAATTATATGTCTGCAAAAAAATGAAAGATTTTTTTTCTGCTCCTGCAAAATCTTGCTGGGAAATGTTAATGCTATTTTCTTATTAAAAGAAAACAGGGAAGTTTCTCGGACATAGTAGGTGTCATTTTTGTAATTGTATGGAGTTCATTACTTGATTTTCCATGTTGTTTTTGTTTTGTTGCTTTTGTAGTGCTGCTATAGATCAAACCTAGGGTCTTGCACATGCTAGGCAAACACTTTTTTTCGGTACTAGGAGTCGAACTCAGGACCTTTGGCTTGCCAGGCAGACGCTGTGCTATTGAGCTATATCTCTGGCCCAGCACTTTTCTATTGGGCTACACCAACAGGTTTGTTAACCCCACCACTCCCAGTGTCTGTGAGGTGCTAATAAGATCTAAACAATGTTATCAAATTATTCAATACATCCAAGCACACTGAAGTAACAGTATAAAACAAATTCTGAAAACATTGCCATCTCCTCACAGGCATTCATCTAGACCACCACCAAGTCTTCCTCTAAGTATCAACCACAAGCTTGTTGTAAGCAACCTGTTACTAATATGGAGAGCTGAGTGCAGAGTAGTCTACTGAAAAATATAAGGTAGAGAAGATTCACGGTTATCACAATAATTTGTGCTGTGTCACTTATGTCCTGCTGTGCTTTTAAATGGAATAGAGAGAAGCAAGCTTATAACTGAAGCCCTACGGATTCCGTGAGAGCAGAGTGAACACTGAACTTTGGAGAAAAAGAAAGTTTTAATAACTTTTGCATCAACTCATTAAGATACATTGAAGGCAAAATTTTACCTCTCCTATCTTAAGGTTTTTCAGCTGGGGCTGAGAATTAAATTGAAATAAAACAGATCAACAGGAGAAAAGCATATAAATTTGTTTAACATGAGTTTTATGTGGCAGTAGAGCTTTCATAAGGCATTGTGGACAAACGCTGGTAAGTACTTAAAATATGACAAGACCAAGGGGCACGGGCTGGGCAGAACTCAGGTGGGGAAGTGAGTAGGAAGGTAAGAGTTAGTTTGCAAGGACATTTGGACAGATTTCTCTTGTCTTCAACTTGCTGTCCTTGCCTACAACAATGTTCCTTTCCTTCTGGTGTAGAGAGGTCACCTTTCACATGGGAATTTCATCTCCTGCTTCTAAGAACGCAGGTCAGAATATTCTTGTACCTACTCTTTTTCAAGGGCCTTTAACTCAGATTAGTCCAGGTGCTAAAAAGGCATATTTGGCAGTATTGTTCTCTGAACTCCCTCAAAGGGAAGCAGAAGGCACCACAGTGTTTCCAACAAGCAGGCCCATCTCACTTCCTACCTCTGTGTCCTTCTACTCTGTGATGTGGGCACTTAACTGTTCTGATTGTTAGCTTCCCCTTTAATAAAAGGAAAATAAGACTGGCTTGAAAGGGTTTCCCGGGAAAGTAAGAGAGCCAAGTGCAGTGTTGCAGACCTGTAACCCCAGCTGAGGCAGAAGGACTACAAGTTCAACCTCAGCCTGGGCAACTTAGTGATTTACTGAGACTCTGTTTCAAAATAAAAAAGGGCCAGGGATACAGCTCAGTGCAATGTACTGGCTTAAATCTCACAGTACTGAGAGGCAAAAAAGCAATTAAGAACATAGAGCACTGTGACAAGTAATATCTTGACTGATGATGACTCCCAGAGTAGACACAGTGACAGTGATGTCCGCAAGATTGATTCTCAAAGGAGCCTGGTGTCCTAGAGAAGGTCCTCCCTCCTTCGGCCTATGCATATTTGGATCAGACAACGCTTTGTTCTTGGAAGCTGTTCTGTGCATGTTTAGCAGCATCCCTGGACACTACACGCTAAATGTCATTCCTCCAGATGTGACAATGAAAAATATTCCCATTACGAAATGCCCCTCTAAAGGGTAAAAATCACCCCTGGTCAAGAACCACTGTCCTAGAGTCTAGGGCCTAGAAGCAGGAGTGTTTTCAGCCATGAGCCTCTTCAGAGAGTGCCTTACCTCCAAAGAGACACCTTATTCAGTCAAGCGTTTTTCCAGGACAGCCCACACCCACCGACAGGTGACCAATAAAGAATACAAAATCCTGGCCATTGGGCTTCATTCAGTGCAGTGACGACGAAGGGCCCTCTGAGCCCCAGGGCTCCCATGGGAGCCACAGTCTGGCACAGGACCTGTATCATTCTCACCTTCTCTCTCAGTTCATGGCTACTTCCTGCCTCTCTTCCACAGGGGATGTTCCTGAGGGCATTCCTTAATAGACACCCAGCACCCTGAACTCTGGGGAACTGATCTCAGCCAACTACCTTCCATTCCCACTAGGTCCAACTCCAAGAGCTGTTCTCCCACCAGAGGTAGTGGAAGGAAGAACGTACTGAGCACATATTGGTGGCTTTCACTTGCCTCAGCTCCCAGTTCTATCTTAGAATCAATCATGCAAGTTAATAATTGAGTCTGAATGTACCAACTGTCTTGTCTGCTTTAACCAGGACAAATAGCTTCATCTGAAAATGACATTGCTGCCTTAAATGTGAGAGCAAATGGTAATGTAGTGGAGGAGGACTTCAATAATATTGTTGTGTGAACTCAAACAAAAAGACAATGAATGATAAAGCAGAGATGGAAATACAATATTGAGGAAAAATTCATATTACATAAAATAACTTTGCCTATAATTCATCTAAACTAAATATCCTTCATTAATCAGTTTTTATTACTTAAAAGAGAATGAGAGAGATGAGGGGGAGGGAGGGAGGGAGCAAGGGAGAGAGGAAAGAAAGCAAAGAGAGAGAGCTCAACTAAGGAATTGTGCAACATACAGTCTGTGTTCTTTGCTACAATTAATTTCTTATGGGGTCACCAAAGGTGAGTAGCCCAGGATATCCTTGTTTTCAAGTTGTATTTAACATAACCACCTGCCTTAGAACTCTTCTCATAGAGGAATGATAGACAGTACCAAACCCAAGCTAATTATTCCTGGTTTGTTTGAAGTGCACATACCTCTGCAGTCACCGATAGAATTTGAGAATTGACAGCAGCAACCCAGTTGCTAAAGCTCTAGAATCTCCTTCCAGCAAACCGGCAATGGGAAGTCTCTGTGTTAATCAGGTCTGATCATATAGTCATCAGTACTTTGCTCTATGACACTTGACTTTTAGCTAAGTTTTCCCAAGCCAGCATAAGCTTGCTGCCTTTGGAGGAAAAAATCATTTGATTTAGTACAGAGAGAGGATTTTTCTTTTGTGAAATTATAGATTGGGCCACCAACTGGAAAATACTTCTTTAGCCTAGAGTGTTGATTTCAAGCACTTGTAAAAGCACTGAACTACTTAGGGCTGTAGATTCTGTCTCCAGTCCTCTTATTCTGTCTCCTTCCTGTCTCAGTAACTCGAGAGCAAGGAAGGAAAGTCCTCCAACCTTCTCTGTCTTGATCCTAACACTGTTTCAAAACCGAGATAAGACAACCCTAAGTCAAAAGCTTGCTTTTCTCAGGCCCTTGATGAGAATCTAGGGGATTTCTTACAATGGCTATCATCAAGAATACAAAACGAAACAATAAATGCTGTCAATGATACAGGGGGAAAAAGGAGCTCTTCTACCTTACAGGTAGGAATTTAATTAGAACAGATTATATGGAAATCAATATGGAGGTTCCTCAAAAACCTAAATATAGAACTACCATTTGATCTAGCTATACTACTTCTTGACATATACCTGAAAGAATTAGTCAGTTATCATAGAGACACCTATGTACACATGTTTATTGTGGCACAATATATAATATGCAAGAGATAGAACCAG